CAGTTCCTTTGGAGTGGGTATCGCTTATACTTCGCGTGCCATTTATGCTGCTTCTTGGAGACCTACGGCAAGGTGCCTTCTACGGAGTCCTTTTTGCATTCTGGTTAATCTTTGCCGGTGAACATTTGATTGACGATACAACAAGAAACAACATTGTGAGCTATTTGGTTATATTTTTCGGTTGCATCTTGTGTAGATATTTGTTAGTGCAGTTCTTAGTTGGGGGGTCGTCGACTCCACAACAAATCGCCCCAGAATCCTGCCTAATCCGTTAATTTGGTACTAATCTAACGTTATGCGTGTTTGAGGAAGTGCACTGTTGTAGGCATCATATCGCTTTAACCTTTTCTTCATTGCGGTGGCGTCTTCATTGCTGTTAATCTACGATATATGTGAGCGAGGTTTCCAGCTGAGCAATCCTTTCTATAGCATATGGTCCAGCGAGGCAGGATCTGTAGTCGCTGTGAGTTCATATCTATTATCTTCATTGGTAATTCTTCCATGATGAACCCTGAACAGTGCATATGCCTCATACATGAGTTTCCAGAAATTTTCCGTCTACGCGGCATCGTTGTGCACAATTATATACTTTGTGTTTTTGTTTGGTAAGATATGGAAGGTTTGGTTCACGATCAAAAGCAAACGCTCCGCGCAACTGTACAGAGAATGCGAAAATAGACGCTTGAAGGTAACTGGGACATCATCACACCTTTAAACGTTTGTCGCTACGTCTTCAATTTCAGGTCGAGTCTATTATATATCGTTTTAAATTTCTTATGCTTCTCACATTGCTGTGTGCGGGTCTCACGATTACTTGCTACATTATGAAACAGGTTCGTAATTTTGTTGCATTTCCACTTTCCGCTTTATTTTGTCTACGTGAAGATCGCTATTTTGATGAGCTGAGAGTTTCTGTTTCGCAATCACCTCTTCGGATGTAATTCTTTATTGCTACGTGGGAAGGTAATGGTAGGCGTCATTCACTTTGGAAAGCGAAATTGTCTGAAATATATATATATATATATATATATATATATATATATTTCAGACAATTTCGCTTTCCAAAGTGAATGACGCCTACCATTACCTTCCCACGTAGCAATAA